GTTAACAACTAACAATTCTATAAACATAAGAAGTGCTATTTAAACTTTTAAAAACAACATTATATAAACTTCAAAACAAATTTATTCGTAACTTAACTTCAAATGTAATGTCAATCATAAACATTAATATTAACCAAATAACACTATATATTAGACTAAATATTTGAGTTAATTATTTATATCATAACTAATTATTGTATAATTATTGTAGGTACTCAATAATATATTAATCTGTTTTAGAAACATATTAGAAGTTTAGATTGGATATGATACAAGTTTTTTTGGAATTTTAAAGTTTCGGGTTCTTTCGGATATCCATTTAAGTTCGGGTTCGGTTCGGGTAACACCCATAACCCGAAATACCGTAAAACAAGATCCATTCGGTACTTATGTCGGGTTCGGATCGGTTCGGATTCCTTTTTATCGGATCGGGTTCGGTTTTTTTGCCCAGCCCTACTTTTAAGGATGAGCTCTATCAAATTTTCTAAAGATTCAGAATGCTCACTAATCATCATGGGATTCATACTGAAAATGAAGTCTGATTTAACTCAAGTCTGATATAGCCAAAAACCAATCACAATCAAAACAGTGCCTTTGATTTTTTTTTTAGTTACAAGAATACATCCATCTAAGAAATAGATATTGAAACTAAATAAATCCTAATTTTCTCCTTAAAGAGTTGCAAGAAAAACCCTAACCTAAAGCTTAGCGCGCACGCAAGGAAAAGCACGCGTTGGGCCGATTTAAATTAAATGGCAACCAAATTAAAATCGGATTAAGTTATAAACCGGAACCTATTTATAAAATCAGGTTTACAAGTAAGAAACGCGAGGTTTCTGCGATGTCGGTAAACACTAGCAATGTCGGAATCGAGGAAGGGAAGAAGAAGAAGAAGAAGGAGAAGGTGGTGGTAATAATGGGTCCCACAGGATCAGGGAAATCGAAGCTAGCTGTTGACTTGGTGTCTCAGTTTTGTATACCTCTACGGATTCTCGAGACTCAGCAATTCCTGTGAGTACACTTTTGTATACTTCTTGCTGAATCAAAAGGTTTCAGCAAGAGGTATACATACACACTTTCATGAGGTGTGTATGTGTATGTGATATCATGTAGGAGGATTGTGTTATAGCCTTTGTGGATACTACCACAGTTTCATGAGGTACTAATAAATACAAAATGTGTAGTATTCAGTGATTTTTTTTTCTCTCCTGGTTACTTCAAGTTAGGACTAACCCGAACTAACCGAACCCATAGGCCATATATGTCAGCGTGCCGTTTTTGATATGGACAAAGTCACCTTGGTTTGGTTGGTATGATTAATATAGTTGTGACTGATTTGTGTTCACAGCTTACTGAGGAGATCCTTTCCGGTTCCGGTTCTTGTTGGAGGATCAAATTATTATATTCAGGTGATGTTGTTGTTCCTGTCTTGTTTTCTGGCAACATCATCGTATGATTAAGCTTTGCTTATCTTATTAATGTTGGTCGTGTAGGCTCTTGTGAGTAAATTTCTCCTCGAGGATTTAACGGGAGATAGTGATGAATGCTGTTCAACTGTTGATCCAGTCGTCTCTATCACCATGTAACCCTCTTTTAAAAAAAAGTTTATGACCGGATAATTAGAAACTTTCTACTTTATGAAGGCTTGGATGTCAAGTCTATCTCTGGGAGAGATGGCTATGAGCTTCTTAGAGAGCTAGATCCCGTGGCAGCAAACAGAGTTCACCCTAATAATCACAGAAAAGTGATATTTTCTTCTGTATAGCCAAAGGATCCTGATTGGTATATGTGCCTTTTTCTGGTCTGTTTACTCATCTTTGGTCCGTTGTTGTTGTTGTAGATTAATCAATACCTGAGCTTGCATGCTAGCAGAGGAGTTCTTCCAAGCAAGCTATATCAGGAAAAGCTTTATTTCTTTTTATCTGCTGTAACTCTGTAAGTAGTTAATTAAGTTATGTACGCGCGCGGCAGGGCAGAACTGAGGATGCATCGATGCCTCCTCTCGATTTGATTACTGTTTGATATGTATGGATGCTGAAACCTCGGTGCTGGACAAATATGTTGGACAAAGAGTAGATGGGGGACTACCTGACGAAGTCTATGACATCTACAAACCAGGAGCTGACTATACTAGAGGCTTAAGGCAGTCCATAGGTGTCATAGAGTTTGAAGACTTCCTCAAAACCTATCTCCCAGAAGAGAGCAATGATGGTGATAAGGCCTTGAAGGAGAATCTGAGGAAGATTCTTGATTTTCCAAAAGATGATAAGTTGAGGGTTATGCTGGAGGAAGCAATTGATAGTGTCAAGTTTAATACCAGAAGGCTCCTACGTCGTCAAGTAAGAAAAAACGTTTTGGTGAAGTCACTAATTTTGAAAAGGAGAATTAATCGGCTAGAAACGGTATTTGGCTGGAATATCCATCATGTTAATGCAACTGAGTGCTTATTAAGTAAGTATTTACACTATATGTGTCTCATCAATATGTCAATATTTAACAATCTCTCTTGTTGGTGTGTGTGTAGATATGTATGTGAGGTACAATGAAGTTTCTGTCTTAGTCAAAGTGGAATCTCTATAAAACTGAAAAACATGTTTGTGGAAGCAGGCTTGTGGAAACAAGGTACTAAGAGGAAGACACGAGTGGGAGCATCACAGACAAGGCCGTGTACATCGTAAGAGAACCACACAACTTAAAAAAGCTCAAAATTTCAAAAGCAGGGAGAAGCAACAACAAGAAGAGGAAGTGAAGATTGCAGAGAGACATCATGAAAACTGAAAAAGGTTATTGGACACATTGAAAAGAAAAAGCCCATCAAGGAAGTATTGCAGCTACAAGAATTTTTTTTTTGTATTTGTCATCAATCGCATTACAACTTTTTGCTCGTTGTAAAATTGAGCGTCTACTTTGAATTGTATAATCTTAGCACTTTTGACTTTTTGTTATTTAATAGGATTTTGATATCGACAAAGGAAGTAGAATTTTGATATAATAGAACTGACAATTATATATATATATATATATATATGGACAATTTATCACGATTGACACGAGCAAAACTTGATTTGATATTTTTATCGTCGACGATTTGATATATATATTAGAAACTGGTAGTTGACGAAAGGAAGATACTATTTTGCCTGCTTGGTGTTTGTGAGTGGAATATATGAGAATGGAATGTGTTGAAAGCTTTTGATACTTCTAACTTTTGTTATAAAAAATTTGAGAATATATGTCATTTCATTGATTTAGAACTATTTTCACCCACTCCAAATTATTTATGAGGAAAGTTGCATTACGTATTGTAAGCCATATTTAATTCAAACCAAAAAGTCGACAAGTTCATGACTTACATATTATTCAGTCTGAAAAATATAGCTTTAGTTGTAAAAGAAAGGGAGAATTAATTTCAAAAAAAAAAAGGAAAAAAAAATAAAGGAGCAGTTGGTTCTGAAAAAATGGGGCTGTAAAGGAAAAGTTATCACGAGATAGGAGGAACAGATATAATGATCCTTTATTTTGCTAATGTATTTTAATAGACAAGAATCATACTTTACGGTCACCCTAAAATAGTATGAGTATGCAATTTCTTTAGAATGCAAATTTTATTTTCAACACACATGGTATGATCCAAGAAAAATAATTTTAAATAATATACTTTAATTTATGCAGATGAGAGACTGCTACTACTTTTTTTTTGAGAGAGACTGCTACTACTACAGTACTTGTAAATTGTAATGCATTATATTGGAACTTATATATCCAGTGACTGGCTCTCGTTTTTTGTAGAAATTCAAATATGTAGATTTATAATACAATATATGTTTTTTTTGTGAAAGTAATACAATATATATATGTTAACAAATTTGATTATTAATTGTATCTACTTGTTCTCACGGGGAAAAAAAAGGAAAAAGCTTCAGTGTTCAGAAAGGATGAAAATATATGAAACGAAAATACAATATATGTTTTTTTGTGAAAGTAATATAATATATGTTAACAAATTTGATTAACAAAGCATTCAGTGTTCAGAAAGTAAAGATAATATATGAAACGAAAAATCTGTATCAAACTGAAATCGGAGTTAGCAACTTAGAAGTCTAGAGAATTTGCAAATAGAAAACTGTTAATAAACCAAAATATTTTTATTTTAACAAAAAAAAATTTTCTTTTTGAAGAAAAAAAAAGTTATCAAAGCTCGCGGAAGAAAACTGTCCTTTAATTTTGAGTTTTTACAAACCACATACTCATCAGACAACATTTAGAACCAGCACTAAAACAAAAACTACACTAACCAAATAGGCTTCAAACTCAAAGCGCATATTCATTTTACCAGGATCATTTCTCGATATCGGTGAATACTCTGCAACTTTACAACACACAAGCTTTAGTGTCTCCCACAAAAATAAAGAGATCAGGACCGCACAAATTCATCTCGAAGCAACTCCAAACAAGTCTAAAATATCATTATTGTAGATTTATTTTTAATTGTTATTTTAGAATTTCTTTACTCTGTTTATAAAAATGACTCACCATAAATAAATTTGACACAACCTACCCGAGCTCACTCATGCGTAATATAACTATACGTTAACTGATTCGTATACTTTAGAAATGGACCACTTCAAAGTGACTCAACCATAAATGATTATTGTGTAAAAAGGAAATCCCACATCATGATTCTAAAAATAGTTGCAGAGTTGGAAAACTATTAACTATGATCAATGTATATATGTACATATATGATCATTAATGTTACTTTGCCGCTGTACCAATTAATATACATAATCGTATTTTTTGTTTGACATCATATACATAATTGTGTTCGAGGAAACTTCTCATTTAATTATAATGTTTTTTTACAAAATTGTGTGACTATATATGGGGTACACAAACATTTACAAAGGACACATGCATGGCCATGTGAAGAGCCCTAAGCTAAGCAAATTTAATGCGACTGTTCCTCTGAGGATACCGTTAGTTAATTTTTTAAATTTATTTTCAGCTTTTTATTTCCATTGACTCTCCCATTCCTAGCCGTCGTCATATAAATTTTGTAATCACACTTTAATAAGGTAGGTGCCAATGAAGAAGACTGACGTTAAAATATCAATGATGTGGATTATTGTTGTTAAATAGGGTTTAAAAAGGGTTTTATTCGAATTTACTCTTAACTGATTAACGTATTAAAATAGTAATCTTCGGATGATTATAATGTAAATATATAACTATAGTAGGGAAGGGGCTGGTAGATTTTAATTCGAAAATAATTTTGTAAAACAGAAGGCAATCACTAACGAAGGCAGTGAAAGCACTGTAGTCCCTCTGCATCACATGTAGATAAGATATTCGTAAATTTTGATTTGATTCGTTAGAAAAATATGAATATTTGTAATTCTACAAAGCAAATCAAATATAATATGCAGTATCTGTAACAAACGAAGTAAATTACAAATAATAATTGTAACATCCCAAGTTGTGATATGTAGAAAGATTTAAGAGAATTGATTTAGTTATCTATGTCACCAAAGTGTATTTACCTTTTCAGGAGCACATCCATAGAGAATTCCAGAGCTAAGCGTGCTTGAGCTGGAGTAATCAGATGATGGGTGACCTATCAGGAAGTGATTTGTGATACCGTGTAAGTGAGGCCAAAGCACAGGGAAATGTTATGTGGTGATTGCAGGGTCAGTAAACATGAATCTAGAGCCTTGGAAAATTAACGAACCGGCCGTTGGAACGAGATGGGATCCACGAGCCGAGCGGACGTAGGTGGTCCATTAGCCGTGGGGGTCGGAGCGTTACAATAATATTTTTAGAAACAAATATCCACTCTGATCCTTTATATACATATCTACACATATTTACAGAATTATATATATATATATATAATATTTGTTTATATATATGTAAGTTTAACAATATTGTTTTATTTATTAGAATTTTTATAAAGTAAATAAATTTTATTTGTAATAAATTATTATTGTTTTACATTGGTTTGGATTTTAAATTTATTAAAAAATTTGTTTTATTTGTGCTGATTGAATTCAATATCATTAAAAATAATTAAAAAAAAATTCGATATCCAGACACTGAATATCAATACGATCTGTTATATATACATATCTACACATACTTATAGAATTATATATATGATTTTATTTATGTAAGTTTACAATATTATTTTATTTATTAGAATTTGAAAAAGAAATAAATTTTATTTTTGTCAAATTATTGTATATTATTTTGGATTTTTATTTTTTGTTTATTTTTATTGATCGAACTGGATATCATTATAAAATTGTAAATTTTCCAATAACTTGACACTGAATATCCAGATAGCCATGGATATGATCAGATATGATAATTGATTATTTGGATAAAAACTGATCAAATCTTGAACACCTTCAAATGTCTGGATATTGAATTACTGCCCACCCTTAATGTATACATTCCCTTTTCAGTAAGCAGACGCATTTTTCAATTTTAGACATTCAACAGATGCAATTCAGTGATTTAGAGAATCTTCAAAAGATATTTTATAACTTTAAATATAAAATTTTGAGTAGTAAAACTTCAAATATAGAATGTCACTATTCAAATTTGAAATTAATTTGAAATTTCATATTTTCATTTTCATGCTGGTCCTTATAATATTATATTAAATTTAAATCTAAATTTAAATACATTATTAATATTAAACTACAAAAATACCACATTAATTTTTGTAATATTTTTGTTCTTTACTTCTAGTTTAAGATATTTTAAATCTTATCTTAATGTTTTTAAAAAAATATGTATAAAATTTAAATTTATAAAAACTATTTTGAAATTTTATGAGATAAATATTTATAAGGATTAAAACAATAATTAAAAAATATTTAAGAATTAATATTTCTGTAATAATTTATGTATACATGCTAGTTATTTATAAAAAAATATATATGAATTTTAATTAGTTATGAAAAATATACGAATCATATTATAAAATATAAATAGTTTTGAAGTTACGCTTAAAATTTTGTTTTTGAAAAAGAACATGGTTAAATTTTAAATACAGAATTTTGCAAACTTGAAAATAGCAAATCTTTTTAGAGATGATTTTATTTAGAGGAGAAGGTTCATGCCACTTTAACCATAGACTTACCGATTATTCGTCTGATTAATTGGTTAAACCGACGAGTTTTAGAACATGGATTATACTATACCCATATCACTGAGCAATACGGAGGACATGGTCGATCACTTAAATCATATTATATTCACAATCTCTACTTTAAAAAACCAATAGTATATTCTAAATTTTACATAATCAAACCCCTATCGCACGGGAAATTCAATTCCAACAAAGCACGCATTTACAATGTAGCCACCTAAAACTCTCCAAATGATCAACCAATCTAGGAAAAAACGTTGCTTGCATGGGATGTCACCACCTAAATCTCTCCTAACCTACACAGAATCGAACTAGCTAGGACCTGAAACTAGAACATGTTCCTTCGATGGGATGCTAATCACCTTTCCTAACCGAAATCACCAGAAAAGAATAATAAGCATGAGTAAATTCTAGGTTTTAACTTTTGTACTTTAAAGAGGCTCTATGCCTATCTTTATAAACGTGCACATATGCCCCAATTTATTCTCATTTTATTTCACTCTACCATTCTTCTTCCTCAGCTAGTCATCAATTGGTCCAACACAGGCCCGGCCCTAAACTATTTAAGGCCAGAAGCTCAAAATAAATAAAAGGCCGAAAATGTATTGAAAGGATTCGAACCCAACACCTCTCTAAATACTGCAGAGTAATTTACCAACTAAACAACAAAAGATTTTACAAAATAAACGGCCAAAAATTTACTTATTATAAAGAAGGCCGGAAGCAACTGCTTCTATTGCTTCCCCTCAGGGCCGCTACTGGTCCAACATTAACGAATGCATAACTGTAGAAGACTTTGCATAGTCAATTAATTAGATTACAATTTTACAATGTCGCAATAACAAATTGAGTCATAGACATTATATTTTCCCAACACTTTGCTTTCAATTCAACATTAGGCAATGATCTTGAGTTTATAGGAAAAAAACAACTTGATATTTAGAAATGATAGCATATCATCAATGTTCCTATAAGAAGAGATTCAGATTGTGGAATCTCTCAAATATTAAATCACAACTCCAAGAAAAGAATAATGTAAGAAAAATCTATACTCCTTTCAAGAAGAAAATGTAAAAAAAAAAAACCCCCATAAAATCTCTCAAATATTGAAAAAAAACATAACCAATAAACATTTCCTTACAAATCTCAAAACAAAGAAAAAAAAGAAGAAATTAGTTTTTCTTCAAGTCTTACAGGCGTAAATGAGGAGAGAGAAATCAACTTCATCTTTCTGAACCATCTTCTCTTCCAACCAAAGCCTGCTACTACTGTCTAAACCATTCCTTGTCCTAAACATGAACACAGCTTTCCCACAACCTTCAGGATTACTAAAGAACCAATCATGAACATCCCACATCAGATCCACAAGCAACCCATCAACGAAAATCGTCTGATTCCCCCTGAAATTCCACTGAAGCCTCTTCACTTTCGTAACCGTCTTCTTATCGATACAAACAGAGAGAACAGGGGAATGATGATTATGTGTACTGCTCTGTTTCAAACCCTCTGTTTTCTCCGCGCTACATCTGATCACGATCTCGTGTGCATCTCCTGATTCAACGAACTTAGCTTTAGTTGAGTAAAAACTGTTCCCGGAGAAGTGTTCTTGTCGAGAGATCAGAGACTTTCCCGAGTCGAAACCGAAAGAGAAACCCTTTTTCCTGAGAGTTTCTTCAGAGGAGTCTCCGAGGAGGAGACCTAACTGAGCATCTACGAGGACGATAACGTAGAAGCCTTGGATCGGTTCAGGGCCACACATGATGGAGTCGTACTTGGCTGAAGAAAGATCCCAGAAAACCTCGATTTTACCGAGATCGGAGTCGACGGATTTGTTGCCTTTTTTCTTGCGGAAGAAGCGAGAAGAAGTGTTGAGTTTGAGAGACATGGAAGGGTTTTGATCTGCGGAGGAAACGGAGATGCTGAGACCGTTGTTGAACTGTGAGGGGTTGATCTTGTTGCACCATGTGACTTTGATGATGAGATGCTTGGATTGTAGAGTGATTCTGTAGATGCTTGTGATGGAGGTTTGTATGGATGGTATGAGAGATGGAGAGATACAAGCGTTACTTGTGTTGTAGTTTGAACATGATGATGTTGATAATGATAATGGATGTGTCACGTTTATTGAGTTTTCGCTGAAACATGACACCAAATCTCTCATCTTCAATTAAGAAAAACAATCTCCTGGGGAAAGAAAATGTTTTTTTTTAGGAAAAAAAATATGAAAATGAAAATTTCTCTTGTTGTTTGTTTGTTTGTTCCTTCTTGAAAAAAAAAAAAGGTGTTCTTGTATGAACAATTACCAGAATATAAAAATGTTGAGAAGAGGAAGAAGAAGATGAACCAATCTTGCTTTTCTTTTTCTTATCTCTCTTTCTTATTCTTATTCTTTTTTATTTTGTTTTCTTAGAGAGAGAAGAAAATTTAGAAGAGTGAAGAGAGAGAGAGAGATATGAATTAGGGTGTTTCTGTGTGTAGTGGTACCAAGAAGACTGCAGATGAATTGAGCTACAAGCCGAATTTAAGTACTTTTGAGCTTTCATTGTCTAGGGGACACAAAAAAATTAATTTATTGCAATTGTGTATGCTAACTAATTTTATAAGATTTGGTACAGCTTATGTCTTATTTTTCTTTATTTTATATGAAAATTAAATAGTTAGTCAGATATGACTTTACTTTATTTTTCTATATAAATAATTCCCAAGTTCTGTACTTTGAATTTAGTTTATGATTTACTAGACAGAATGATAAAAACGTCACATGTTTTTATTTCGGCTAAAAAAATACAATCAGAATTCTTCTAACATATAGGGTCAAAGCTACATAAAGTTAATACAGAAATAATATCATCGATATATTTGATAATTTGGTACCGAACCATTTGCATAATTACAGAAACGGTTTCCGTAAAATTAAAGGTAGGTTGGTAATATAGTAATGACAAATTACGTTTTTATTTCATCTCTTCAAGCCTATATATGAGTTTTATCTGTTTATGCGTAAAGTTTTATTAGATTTATGGATGGGTGGAAAATATCTTTTGAATCCGTTTCGAAACATTAGATACATTTAATAGATTTGGAACTTAATAATAGAACTTGTATTAACACTATAACAGTTATAGTTACCGTTGATGTACCTTGAATCAGACTCGCGTGAAGATAAATAAATATGTTGCATCAGTTGTTAAAAGATGCATTAGCTAAGAGCATCTTCAAAAATTCCCTTATAACTTCAAATATAAGTTTTGTAAATTCTAAAAGCAACTTTAAAACCTTAAATTTTAGGCTTCTTACTTTTCTAATCTTTTTACTTGTGTAACGCTTAAATACAGTGAATAATTTTTTTTATTTAATCATTTTAATTCTTTTTACTATAAAATATTTAATAAACTGCAATAAATATTATACAAAATAATATTACAGCAAATAAAACACAAGAAATTAAAAATACAAACACATAGTAATAAACATATAACATGATTATTGAAGATAGAACGTGATATCAAGGCACCGATTAGAGATTCAAAATCAGCGCCAGTGGCACAAATCGAAATGGCAATAAAAGAGAATGCTCGTTTTCAAGATTTTATGGCTTGTAATCTTCAAATAAAAGATAAAATGCTCATTTATCACTTCGAAATACCTTAATTGATCATATATAAGATCATTATGGAGCTGTTTATAATGAATAATTATGCAATTTGTTTAAATTTCATGATTTACTTTGTATGCTTTTATTTATATTGAAGATTTTAGTATGATATAATATTTTTAATGAATTTTGTTGGATATTTTATAGTTATTATAAAACATTTATACTATTAGTTAAGTTTTATTAAATATAAGGATTGTTATGTAAAATACAAATGTTTTAAAGTTTATTATAAGGTTTTGCTTTTGGAGAGAAATAACCAAAATTTTTATTTTAATATCTTTCTCAAACCTTAAAAAAAAATGTTTTTGGAGATACTCTAACGTCTACAGCCGGACTATATAGTTAATAGACTAGAATCAGATTAAATATGACCTATTTATATTCATTTACTTAAAAAAAAAATTATCACGCTAAATGAACCCTTAACCATACCACTACCGCTAAATGCCTAAATGTAATGGAAAAGTTACGTCCAAGTGGCCTCTAAAATAAAAAAAAATATCAGCGGCTGGAATCACTAGCATGAAGCTTGAAGTTAGTAGTTTCTCTTGCTTCCTTCCCAAACCGCCTCTACCTAAATTTCTGACATGTATTAGGACTTTAAAATGCGGATACCTTATACATATATTGTTTTTGTTGTTCCAATGAAACATGGAAAATCGCCTTCAATAATATGAACTTTCCTTGTAGGGAGATGTAGCCATATTTTGAACCATGTTATATCATTGTGTCGTTTACTTCACACGCTTGTACATTTTTCGCATAATTTTTTTTCACGTCTGTAACAACAAACTGGTACTAACTAGAACCGCAAGTTTGTGATATGATATCTAAGATAAACGTGAACATTGACAAAATTGATGGAAAAAATATCTTCATCTCTAGCATATTAAGATCCAAGCGTTGTTGATGCAACATGGAAGCTGGACACCACAAGATTTTTTTTCATTCTATTGATTTGGAGCATCTGGAAGAAAAATCATTCTTAACATTTTTTGTGTTTAAAAGACGAGATCACCATGGAATGACAGAGAAGAAAATTGTTGTTAGTCTGTGGCAGAAGTGGGAGAATTTGTACATGATAAAACTTATAACAAACAAGTTACTTCTAAAGCAAAGTCTCTTCACTTTGCCAATGCAAGAAGGTATTGAGCTACATAACCATCTTAACAAGTTAAATTCGATACTAGTAGAGCTCTATAACATCAATTTTAAAGTGGATGATGAAGATATTTCATAAATCATGAGGGTATACCTGCTGAAATCCTTCGAGAACTTTGTACAATCATTCATTATCAGAAAAATTACAATAAAACTAGAAAAAGTTTGATTAACGCTTTGTAGCCAAGAATTGCACTATAATGCCTCCAGCTCAGGGCAGAGAATCAAACTTTTGGATTGTTTTTAAGTGGCAGAAAGGGTCATGGAAGCTAAAAGAAGTCTAAAGACAAAAAGTCACAAAAGTCTTAGGTGAGAAGATAGTTACTATTACAAAGAAAAAGGATACTAGAAGTCAGATAGTCTGTCGACGAAGAAGAAGAAACATCAGTCTAGGTTTGGTGCACTTGAAGAACATTAAACTAAATCTAAAGATAATATTTTTCACATGACACACTCATTCATATGATGTGTGGGTGATGAATACATGGGCCTCCTATCATATGAGTGAGGAGAGAGTGTTTTTCAGAATATGTGGAAATATATTACGGCAAAGTTAAAATAGCAAACAGTCTTGTCTACAAGATTGCTGGAATTGGTTCCATCATCTTATAACACATGATGGTAAATTCTGCACATGGAACATTAGATAGGTTCCATAAATTATAAAAATTGATATGCGTGAGTATACTAAGTAGTAAAGTTCTCAAATATTCGTAGTGGAGATGGAGTTTTGAATGTTTGCAGAGATTCTGATGTGATTCTGAAATTTTTTATATATGGTACTTTGTATTTGATGAAGGATTTTATTACTAAAGGTTCATCAAATGTTACATTACCACAAATTCCAAACAGAGATTTGACTAAAATATGGCGATGTGAACCCACCAAGCAACCAGTTTTGCTTTTGGAACTGGCAAAGTGTCAACTAGTCACACAGAAAATCAGTTCTCCCTCGAGGCATCAACCCACACAAAAATCAAGATGTGAGGTACAAATGGAACGTCATAAAAAAAAATAGGGAGCTACCACATCGGTAATACCACAACATAACCCAAATAAAACATCCAAGAATTATGAAATAAGTCTGTGACTTTCAGAGAGAGAGAGAGAGAGAGAGAGAGAGAGAGAGAGAGAGAGAGAGAGAGAGAGAGAGAGAGAGAGAGGTCAGGGGGAAAATCTATTTGACACATCTATAGTCCAATCTAAATGGGTTTAGCCTTAAAATACACATTTTTGAGCTTATAGGCGCACTACAAGAAAACATCGATATACTGAAGGAAATTCCGAGGGAAAATGAGTTCCTCGGAATATTCCGTGGCAATTCTGAGGAAATTCCGAGGAACCAAAAATTTTGGGTTTCCTCGGAATTTCCTCGGATTATTCCGAGGAAATTCCGAGGAACGTCTGCTCCGTCGGAAATTTCCGACGAAATTCCGGGGAACATGTGTTCCTCGGAAAAAACCGACGATAATCCGAGGATATATTATATCCGTTAGATAGCCGTTGGGGGATTTGACTAAATTCCGAGGAAATTCTGAGGAAGTGTTGATTTTCCTCGGAATTTCCTCGGAAAAAGTCAATGTAATAATCGAATTTTAGGGATTTGGTATCAGGGTTTCATTTCCTCGGAATTTTTCTCAGAAATTTCCGAGGAAATTCCGAGGAAAACAAGCATTCCACGGAATTTCCTCGGTAACTTCTGAGGAAATTCCAAGGAACACTAGCACTCGTCGGAAATTCCTCGGAAATTTCCGAGGAAATTCCGAGGAAACAAGGTTTCGGAACCGAAAACAGCGATTTACGGATTGAATAAGACTTGTATAAACCTTGTTAAGTGTTTTGAATTGATTATGAATTCAAAAAATGCTATGGTACCCAAATTATAGACACTTTTCCGATTGTATAAACGAAATCCTTAAACTACAACATAAACACTTATACACTTTAATGAACAGAAACGACAATACGTGTAC